AAAAAATCAATAAATATGCCGTTTTCTTTCCTCTGTACTCCTCTCCATCTTAACGTTTACATTTGTTGTTCTGTTTCTTTAGATCATGTTATTTGTTCTTTTTTCGCCCCCCTGTCTGCTTGTGTTCTGGTTCTTTCAAATCAACCATCGGCTAGGTACCGTCTTTAAAGGGAAGCGATATTTCCCCTTGAGCCCGGTCTCTTCTTTGTTTGACATACTTTTCCCGGGTCTTTTGCTGGGGTTCCCTCTCCGGGGCTCGTTCATTCGGTTGTTCTCTTTTTTTTTTTTTTTTTGCCAGAGTGTCTTGGCTTTGCATGCCTAAAATACTGTCATGGGCTCTTCAGCCAGATCCAAATGCCTTAAGGGCTGATTCTGAGGCCAGAGTGCTGTTTAGGACATCTGCCATTCTATGAGTCTGCTGTGTATCCCACTTTCCATGTTGGATCGTTCTCTCCCTTTTTTATTCTATTAGTTAGTATTCAGACACTGGTCTTGTTTATGTGATCCCTTTGACTCTTAGTCCTATCAGTATGATCAATTGTGAACTGAAATTGATCACTTGGACTAATGAGATGGCATTGGTACATGCCACCTTGATGGGATTGAATTGGAATCCCCTGGCACATTTCTCATTCCACCATTTGGGGCAAGTCTGATAAATAAGTCCTGCCAAAGACTGACATGAGTCCATGGGTCTGTTTTTTTACTTGAGCATATATATAACTTGGAAGGCATTTATAGAATTCTATTCAATTCTTTTTTTGATACTTCCTGTTCAGCATTACATAATATTGCAAATGAATCCCTTCCATTTTAATCTTTCCCTCTCAACTGTATTAGTTAAATGAATTTATTTGTGTGTTAAAAGAATTTTACAATAGGAAAATTTCTGTTAGACTTGTACTGAGATCCAAAAATTCTAGAACTAGAGGTTGATCTTGGAAAATATATCTGTTGTAAATTTGTGTGATATCAGAGATCTTATTCTTTATTTTAACTCTTGATAGCATAGAAAAGGAGTAAAACTTTCCAGGCATAACCAACAAAAACAGTTTGGCCCCTATCCTAAGATTTTACAATGCTGGTTATTTAGGTGGCTAATTCTTACTGATAGCTTCTGTTAATTGGAATCTATTAATAAATGTAGTAAAACATAATGCTTTTCTCAATTTAAATTATATTTTGTGTTTGATTCTCTTTATCTACAGCATGATTTACTGAATCACACTATTAAGCATTTTTCACACATTATTTGTCATCATTAATTTTCACAGTTTAATATAAACGTCCAGAAATATTACCTTTTCCTTTATTCTGATTCCACTACTTTTATTTGTAATCTTTTTTGACTCTGATTGGAGAATTCTTACTAGAGACTTTGGAAACAAACAAAAAAAATAGAGAGCATTAATATTGCCATTCATAATATTGCATCACTAATTTTCATTACACGATAAACATTGAAATCATGCCAAAAATCAAATCACAAATTTAGAAGTTGTTGGCATAGCTATTCACATGAGTACTTATTTATTATAATTAAAACTCATGTGACAGACATTTAGCACAAAGATTAAGATGCCACTTGGGACACCCACACCCCATATTGGTGTGTCATGATTTGACACACCTGGATCTGCTCCTGTTTCTAGCTTCCTGCTAATGTGTGCCTTAGAAGACAACATGTGATGGATCAGCTACTTGGGCCCCTGCCACCCACATGAGGGACCTAGATTGATTTTCAGGCTCCTGGCTTAAATCTAGTTCAGACTGGGCTGTTGCAGGCATTTGGGGAAGCAAATCACAGTTTGCACTGGGAGATTCTCTCTCTCTCTCTCTCTCTCTCTCTCTCCCTCCCTCCCTCCTTCCCTCCCTCCCTCTCCCTCTTTTTCAAATAACTAATTTTCAAGACCCTCTCATTTTAGCTTATTTATCAGTTTCTGCATTTGTAAAATAGGGATGATGACATCCATTTTAAGGTTTTTGTGAAAAATGAGAGTGCTTGTAAATTTCATGAGTATATCTCTATCTGCTATTGTAGACCTTCAATATGTTTCACTTCATAGATCTTAAATTAAATCAATGTAACATTGAACACCACTTTTCATAATTCTTGTGTGCATGTATTCCTTCTACTTTGGAACATCTGGAGGAATTTGTTGCCTGGGTATTAATTCACATTTATCATGGCCCAGAGAAACACAACTGCACAGCTTTCTGAATCGCAATTCTGTGAATTTAAAGTGTCCTTTAAATAAATAAATATGTGAGTGTATGTACGTAGGTGTGTATATATCCCAATATAACATAGTGTGCATGTATTTAAAACATTTTTTCTTCTACTGTTTTATTATATCTATAAATATGCTGTCTTTTCACTAATTAAACATTTTAGTGAGAAAATTAGGGAGGAAGATGAAAAAATATCAGCCATGATTTCTTAAGGCATATCATTCACAGACCATAGAAAAAGAATATGACAGTTTGTGGGACACTGTAGCCTGAAACCAACCATTAGCAAACCAGTGCTTTGTAACCCAAAGGGTCACTGTAGCGGGTGGGGGAATCAACTACAGTCTAATGCTTCCAAGTGTCTTAAGAGGAACACCCTATGCAGCAGTATTTTCTTTGGTGACATCTTGTTAACTAATGGACCACAAAGTTTTGTGTTTAAAATGTGGTTGAAATTTTAAGCAGAAATCTGTAAATGAGCAGCTTAGTGTCTTAAAAACATATTTAGCCAACTGAAGGTGTGGCTCCATGATGTTTCTCTTTAGATAGCCAAACTTTTAAGAGCAAAGGGTTGGATCACCTTTAAGCATTTCTTGCAAGTGTATTGAGGCTTCTTCCCTCTTATTTTCTTCCCCTAAATATTATTTTCCTAGCTTGTTGAAATAGAAGTCACCATTTCTATTTGCCCCTTTTGAATGTGAGGACTAGTGGTTGTTTTAACAACTTGAGAATGCTCACATGTTTCCACCCTAGAGTTATTCTAAAGAGAAACCACATTTCCAGAAATACGCAAAGCAAGGAAAAACAAAATAAATGAATGTGATGTCCCTCAGATTGCAGGTAGTGAGGTTACTGCTAAAACAATGTTTGAGTCTGAATATACTTCCCCATTTTTAAACATAAATATAATTTATTTCTGTTGGGATTTATTTTGGTAGTACTGAAGGTCACTGGAAGGGAAAAGGGGAAAATGAATTAGGATGCTGGAGCATTGGAAGACCACTTGCACCTGCCTCAGGTTCTGATCTGAGCAGTGGCTCACTCCATGGCTCATCCTCTGATCTTCTGTGAAGAGGAAACACCACCAGTATTTCTCCCATTTAGGCTTCTCCATTCATCATGGCTTATTCTTTTTGAGTCCAAAGATTTCAGAGTTTCTTGCTACTATCATCTTTCTAAACACTAATAAAGAAGAGTCAACTATTTACTTATTTATTCATTCAACAAGTATCCAGAGATCATCTATCATGAATAAAGGCTTCAAGGGATTAGAAAGAAATGAAAATTACAATCTGAAAATTGCAACCTAGTGAGGAAATGCATACCTAATATACACATTTAAGTGCTCATTCAGTGAAAAGTCACATTGAAATGAAAATTCTTTACTTAACAAAAAGTGATGGTCAATGGAAACCATTTTGTCCACTAGGGTGAACTTGGTCACAGACTTTCTAGCAGATGTAGAAACCAAAGTATCCAGAAAAATGGGACATATTTCATGAAGAATCATGTGTTTTTCTGAAGCAAAAATCTTCTTAAGCTGTGTCAGGAAATGGAAACTCAATTAGAACAATACAATGGCAACAGAAAGCCACAGGTAAGTTTTCTCTTTCAATGTGGTATATCCACACTTTCTTGTTCTGCTCTCTTTGAAAACTAATTTCCTTTACGGAGTTCTTGGTTTCTGTACTTTGTTAAACTCAGCTGTGATGCCAAAGATCCCAACTTAAACTCCAACATAGACTTATAAACTATAGAAACATCATTCTGTGTCTCTGTGTTCCTTTTCCTGAAGAACTCAAGTGGAGTAGCCAGATCGTAAAAACAGATACAGGATTGCAAGAATATGGAATGAATATGATGAGAAGAAATGGAAGCAAGTTTTAAAGTATGGGAAGGAAGAATTTAAACAAATGGAGCTATTTGGTTTTTTAAAAAATTTTATTTAGTAAATATAAATTTCCAAAGTACAGCTTATGGATTACAATGGCTTCCTCCCCCCATAACTTCCCTCCCACCCGCAACCCTCCCATCTCCCACTCCTTCAAGATTCATTTTCAATTATCTTTATATACAGAAGATCAATTTAGTATATATTAAGTAAAGATTTCAATAGTTTGCACCCACACAGAACATAAAGTGTAAAATACTGTTTGAGTACTAGTTATAGCATTAATTCACATTGTACAACACATTAAGGACAGAGATCCTACATGGGGAGTAAGTGCACAGTGACTCCTGTTGTTGACTTAACAAATTAACACTCTTGTTTATGGCATCAGTAATCACCCTAGGCTCTTGTCATGAGTTGCCAAGGCTATAGAAGCCTTTTGAGTTCGCTGACTCCAATCTTAGTTAGACAAGATCATAGTCAAAGTGGAAGTTCTCTCCTCCCTTCAGAGAAAGGTACCTCCTTCTTTGATGGCCCATTCTTTCCACTGGGATCTCGCTCACAGAGATCTTTCATTTAGTTTTTTTTTTGTTTTGTTTTGTTTTGTTTTGTTTTGTTTTGTTTTGCCAGAGTGTCTTGGCTTTGCATGCCTAAAACACTGTCATGGGCTCTTCAGACAGATCCAATGCCTTAAGGGGTGATTCTGAGGCCAGAGTGCTGTTTAGGACATCTGACATTCTATGAGTCTGCTGTGTATCCCACTTCCCTTGTTGGATCGTTTCTCCCTTTTTGATTCTATCAGCTAGTATTAGCAGACACTAGTCTTGTTTGTGTGATCCCTTTGACTCTTAGACCTATCAGTGTGACCAATTGTGAACAGAAATTGATCATTGGGACTAGTGAGATGGCATTGGTACATGCCACCTTGATGGGATTGAATTGGAATCCCCTGGCACATTTGTTTAAAACTCAAAAGAGCAAAAAAAGACTGAAAAAAGAGGAAGGTCCGGTGCTGCTGCATAGTAGGTAAAGCCACTGCCTGCAGTGTCAGCATCCCATATGGGCACTGGTTCTAGTCCCAGCTGCACTGTTTCTGATCCAGCTGTCTGCTGTGGCTTGGGAAAGCGATGGAAAATGGCTCGAGTCTTTGGGTCCCTGCACCCACATGGCAGACCCGGAGGAGGCTCCTGGCTCCTGGCTTTGGATTGGCACAGCTCCCTCCATTGCTGCCAATTGGGGAGTGAATCAGCGGATGGAAGACTCCCCCCTTTCTCTTTCTCTCTCTCTCCTCTCCCCCACCTGTAATGCTGTCTTTAAAATAAAATAAATAAATCTTAAAGGAAAAAAAGGAAACTCCAGGGACTAGATTGGAGATATTAGACAAATAAATGATATTCAATTTTTCATTTGCACTAGATTCCCCCCTTATATTTACTTTACACAAGCTACCTTTTTCTTCATGGAAGAATTACTATTGTAAATTGATGTGTAACAAGGAATTTCTCCAGGGAAATAATCTATTTTGAAGATGTTGGAATAGAAAACAGGAGCCAGAAATCATCATTGTCGCAATTGTAGTGTTTCTGTAAAAGTAGATGAATTTATTTTATGTTAATTAAGTGGTAGGAAGGAACAATACTTTAATTATAAGTGAGTAGTGCTGTTAGTACTATTCTGAGAGGCAATTCATTTTGCCTAACTATTGGTTTAAGAATGGTCAGCTAAGGACACTGAATTTTAATCTGGTAGGCAGGAAACAGTTTATAAGCAAAAGGAAGGGCTCCAATCTGAAATAAGATAGCGTAGGAGTCTATATAGATGGAAGATGATAATTTTGTGTATAACTTTCTACAGTTGCTGTAGGGGACTATTCCTTCCTGTAACACGGACATGGTATTTTGTGAAAGCATCAATGGCCATGTATCAGCTGGACCAGCCAGAGTGGTCCAGCTTCCCCAATACCATGACAATTTCAGCCTCAAGGATTATAATTTTTCCAAGAATGGTAAATCCTCTTACCTTGTAATCAAATGACAAGCCAAATGGAACAAAGATAGTTATTGAGTTAATGAGCTTGTACAATATACACAAGCAGAGTAGGCAAAAAAAGAAGCAAAAAGAATATCTGAAAAGCTAGTCAAAAGAAAATTACTCAGGCACGGAATGTGAGTAATGAGAATGTGTACCATGCATTCATGGAGAAAATTTTCCATATGGTCTGAGAAAATATGCTCCTTCAAGGTGACTTTCAATGACTCTAGGTTGTCAACAAGCCATCAGCAGTGATATAAAGGGCATTTCATTCCAGAAGAGCCTCTTATGACTGATGTATTTTCAGAGTGCATTCTTGCAGAGAGTAGAGTCACAGAAAGATGTGCTTCAAATGGCAGTTTGAAGGTCCTGGTATTTATTGCCCCATAGCTTCAAACGAAGACCCAGTCATCTCCCTTGCAGGTTTCCACACAGTTTTTATTGTGGCTTTTAGTCAGTCAGCCACTAGGCTCAGTTACAGCTTGTGTAACAAGCACAAGTTCAGAAAGGAGTCAGTGCTGTCAAAGCATGGTCATATTAATCATAATTAAAATATTAATTTACTTATGTGTGAAATTCAAAATGCATTAAAACACCATGAATATGAGATCTTTCTCTGTCACACATGCCCCCTCCTCTTATTACCGCTGGTCTTTCCAGATATCACTGGAGTGCCAGCATGTAAATCTTAAACTAAAATTTCTTACAACCCTGAAATATTACCTGATCTCTTTAACTGTTAGCTTGATATACCTACCTTCCCTGGATGTATTGTGCTCACCGAGGACCAGGGCACATTCTAAGACCTCACCCCATTTCTATACTTGGTTAAGGTACTACCATCCTCTACTTCATAAAAAAATCAGAGAGTGGGAGAGAGCTCTTTTTTTTTGCCACATATCATGTTTTGAAGTACTGTTCTTATTTTCTCTCTCTTTCATGGGCAACTCTCTGGCCCACTCATGGTGGGTATTTCTCTTCGTGGGGCAGCAGCCTACTCCAACATGTGAATATATGTTTATTCCCTCACTGTTAAATAAATCTCTTTCCTATTTGTGCATGTTAGTGGTTTCCAGTTAGAATTTTTATCTCTGTGTGACATAAGAACCTTGATTGGGAATGAATATACTCATGCCCACATCACAACTGATGAATGATCCAGGAGGTAGAAATAATTGGAACATGACTGTTACCCAAAAACTGGCATTAGATGAATGAACCCTCACACCCATCCATGGTCACAGTCTTCTCAGGGTTTGGAGAAACTGGTCAGTTTAAAGGTACATTTCTCTGTTTTTAAAATCTTGGGAAAGCTTTTGAAAAGCAAATCACACTTCTTCTATTCTTTCTCTTAGTAATTGTTAGAGATAAGCTGCAATCTGGAAACATTAAGGTTGAAGACAGGGGAAGGAATGATACGTGGGAACAGGTGGAAAGAAAATACAAGCCCTTGGCCACCCATTTATAGTGCATAAGTGGCCACAATCTGGTGTCATTGTGTTCCTAGAGCTAGTGTCTTTTGTGGGACAGGTCAGTTCCTGGCATTGATTCATAACTGCTGGACACCAGGTAGCCGATTCATGTTTGTCCTCCATATTGTCTTCAGCCTAGTGCCTGCCTTCTTAACCCCTCTCCTTTGTTTAGCAGGAGGAGGAAGGGCAAGAAGCAGATTCCTGTTATCTAGTTACTACATCAAGACACTGGGGATGATGTATCTTTTTTTTAAGATTTTTATTTATTTATTTGACAGGTAGAGTTACAGACAGTGAGAGAGAGAGACAGAGAGAAAGGTCTTCCTTCCATTGGTTCACTCCCCAAATGGCCAGAATGGCTGGAGCTGCACCGATCTGAAGCCAGGAGCCAGGTGCTTCTTCCCGGTCTCCCACACGGGTGCAAGAGCCCAAGAACTTGGGCCAGCTTCTACTGCTATCCCAGGCTATAGCAGAGAGCTGGACTGGATGAGGAGCAACCAGGACTAGAACCTGGTGCTCATATGGGATGCCAGCACCGCAGGTGGACGATTAATCTAGTACACCACCGCACCAGCCCCAGATGATGCATTTTTTTATTTTTTTATTTTTGACAGAAAGAGTGGATAGTGAGAGAGAGAGACAGAGACAAAGGTCTTCCTTTTGCCGTTGGTTCACCCTCCAATGGCTGCCACGGCCGGCGCATTGCGCTGATCCGAAGCCAGGAGCCAGGTGCTTATCCTGGTCTCCCATGGGGTGCAGGGCCCAAACACTTGGGCCATCCTCCACTGCACTCCCGGGCCATAGCAGAGAGCTGGCCTGGAAGAGGGGCAACTGGGACAGAATCCAGCGCCCCGACCGGGACTAGAACCTGGTGTGCCGGTGCCACAAGGTGGAGGATTAGCCTATTGAGCCACGGCGCTGGCCCCAGATGATGAATCTTAACTGTGGTAGGAGTTACTACATCTAGCCACCAGAGGTGGGATTTCCTGCTCTGGCAGAAAAGGGGCAGTCCCCACTCTTCCCTTGAGGGCACAAGACAGACAGTGACAGTAATTCTTGGGTGGCAGCCAGCCTACTCACAGTCTGATTTGTGCTTGATGGCCACTGTAATCTTTCTGTTCTGTGCTAACTAGTATCCAGAGAAAGGCAGGTTTAAACATACCTGTCATCTGGCTCCTGGCATATGGATGTAGCTTCTGCTAC